GTTTATCCCTTTAGTTTATCCATTTAGTTTATCCCTTTAGTTTATCTCTTAGTTTATCCCTTTAGTTTATCTCTTTAGTTTATCCTTTTATTTTATCTCTTTAGTTTATCTCTTTAGTTTATCTCTTTAGTTTATCTCTTTAGTTTTTCCTTTTATTTTATCTCTTTAGTTTATCCCTTTAGTTTATCTATTTAGTTTATCGCTTTAGTTTATCTCTTTAGTTTATCCCTTCAGTTTATCTCTTTAGTTTATCCCTTCAGTTTATCTCTTTAGTTTATCCCTTTATTTTATCTCTTTAGTTTATCCCTTTAGTTTATCTATTTAGTTTATCTATTTAGTTTATCTCTTTAGTTTTTCCCTTTAGTTTATCCCTTTAGTTTATCTCTTTAGTTTATTCCTTTAGTTTATCTCTTTAGTTTATTCCTTTAGTTTATCTCTTTAGTTTATCCCTTTATTTTATCTCTTTAGTTTATCTCTTTAGTTTATCCCTTTAGTTTATCTCCTTAGTTTATCCCTTTAGTTTATCTCTTTAGTTTATCCCTTTAGTTTATCTCTTAGTTTATCCCTTTAGTTTATCCCTTTATTTATCTCTTTAGTTTATCTATTTAGTTTATCTCTTTAGTTTATCCCTTTAGTTTATCTCTTTAGTTTATCCCTTTAGTTTATCCCTTTAGTTTTATCTCTTTAGTTTATCCTTTTAGTTAATCTCTTTAGTTTATCCCTTTATCTTATCTCTTTAGTTTATCCCTTTAGTTTATCTCTTTAGTTTATCCTTTTAGTTAATCTCTTTAGTTTATCCCTTTATTTTATCCCTTTAGTTTATCTCTTTAGTTTATCCCTTTAGTTTATCTCTTTAGTTTATCCCTTTAGTTTATCCATTTAGTTTATCTCTCTAGTTTATCCCTTTAGTTTATCTCTTAGTTTATCTCTTAGTTTATCCCTTTAGTTTATCTCTTTAGTTTATCCTTTTATTTTATCTCTTTAGTTTATCTCTTTAGTTTATCCTTTTATTTTATCTCTTTAGTTTATCCCTTTAGTTTATCTATTTAGTTTATCGCTTTAGTTTATCTCTTTAGTTTATCCCTTTAGTTTATCTCTTTAGTTTATCTATTTAGTTTATCTATTTAGTTTATCTCTTTAGTTTATCCCTTTAGTTTATCCCTTTAGTTTATCTCTTTAGTTTATTCCTTTAGTTTATCTCTTTAGTTTATCTCTTTAGTTTATCCCTTTAGTTTATCTCTTTAGTTTATCCTTTTATTTTATCTCTTTAGTTTATCCCTTTAGTTTATCTATTTAGTTTATCGCTTTAGTTTATCTCTTTAGTTTATCCCTTTAGTTTATCTCTTTAGTTTATCCCTTTAGTTTATCCCTTTAGTTTATCTCTTTAGTTTATCCCTTTATTTATCTCTTTAGTTTATCTATTTAGTTTATCTCTTTAGTTTATCCCTTTAGTTTATCCCTTTAGTTTATCTCTTTAGTTTATTCCTTTAGTTTATCTCTTTAGTTTATCCTTTTATTTTATCTCTTTAGTTTATCTATTTAGTTTATCCCTTTAGTTTATCCCTTTAGTTTATCTCTTTAGTTTATCCCTTTAGTTTATCGCTTTAGTTTATCGCTTTAGTTTATCCCTTTAGTTTATCTCTTTAGTTTATCCCTTTAGTTTATGTCTTTAGTTTATCCCTTTAGTTTATCCCTTTAGTTTATCCCTTTAGTTTATCTCTTTAGTTTATCCCTTTAGTTTATCTCTTTAGTTTATCCTTTTAGTTTATCTCTTTAGTTTATCTCTTTAGTTTGTCCCTTTATTTTATCTCTTTAGTTTATCCCTTTAGTTTATCTCTTTAGTTTATCCTTTAAGTTTATCTCTTTAGTTTATCTCTTTAGTTTATCTCTTTAGTTTATCCCTTTATTTTATCTATTTAGTTTATCCTTTTAGTTTATCTCTTTAGTTTATCCCTTTAGTTTATCTCTTTAGTTTATCCTTTAAGTTTATCTCTTTAGTTTATCTCTTTAGTTTATCCCTTTAGTTTATCTCTTTAGTTTATCCTTTTATTTTATCTCTTTAGTTTATCCCTTTAGTTTATCTCTTCAGTTTGTCCCTTTATTTTATCTCTTTAGTTTATCCTTTTAGTTTATCTCTTTAGTTTATCTTTTTAGTTTATCTCTTTAGTTTATCCTTTTAGTTTATCTCTTTAGTTTATCTCTTTAGTTTGTCCTTTTATTTTATCTCTTTAGTTTATCCTTTTAGTTTATCTCTTTAGTTTATCCCTTTAGTTTATCCCTTTAGTGCAAAGAGCAGTGTTGCCAACTTAGCGCTTTAGTCGCTATATTTAGACACTTTTCAGACCCCTCTAGCACTTTGATTTCTAAAAAGCTCCTAGCGCCAAATCTAGAGACTTTTTTCTGCTACTGGAGACTTTGGAGACAACATCTAAAAGCACAGAGAGGAAGACAAGAAGAAAAGGGAAAAGAAGAACCTAGAACAGATAATGGATGTCTATTCTATTAACATTTCTCTATCTGTAGAATGGGGCTGTTTTATTTCTTCTCATTTCAGAGGGCCCCCTGCCTGTCTTTGCCTAGGGCCCCAGATTCTCTAAATCCGCCCCTGGTATTGACTACAGTCTGATATAACAGCGGGTTTCATACAGGCAGGTCAGAACCATGCAAGAAACAGAGTCTGCTGCTATTTTCTGTTTTTGTCTAAAAATGTTTGCTTTACAACATTTCCACTCAGTTTTTTTTTTTCTGGGGGGGGGGGGGTATTAGGCACCTTCCTAAATAATAAATAATAAAGGACCAACGACATCCTCATTTGCCAAATGAAGGCAGATTAGAAGTTGCGTTAAATCCATGAATGTGTATCTCAGTGTTTCTGCATTGAAGCCTCCTTGATCTATGGAGTGAATTATCCTCCATTATTGTGCTGATTAAAGAACCTGCCTAGAAATGGAAACTTTAAAAAATGTTTGGATCATAAAAAGGTCACTTTACTGCTGTTACCGTTTGTTTTCAACTTTCCTTTTAAAATCACCTTTTTCCAATTTTACTCTTTCTAATGTAATTTTTTAATAATTGTTCAAATAATTTATATGTTTGGATTTTTGCTTTTTAAATTTGTTTTTCAGATGGAGTTTTATGAAATGCCTTTTTTTTTAAAGTGTGTTTTCATAGAATATATTCCCTTCCAATATAAAAGCTCACTTACAGGTGAAAAAAAACAAAAACAAAAGCAAATTTACGTTCAAATTTTTTCCACTTGTCATTTTTGGCTTAGTTGGGCTGCTGGATAAAACCTGGAACTAAACGCTATTTCTGACATTTTGAATGGAAAAAGTTTCCTGGATGGAAGAGAAACGTCTTAAAACTTGGAAACAAAGTCCTTTGGATTGATTTTAACTTTTTCTGGAAACCCAGAGAAAATCAAAGAAGCTGCTGGATTCAGTTTCAAAGGTAGAAACAGAAACGACTGGGATGAAGAATGGCTCATCTAACGAGCTTCGGTACGTTTCGTCTCAGCCTTCTTCCTCTCTCAGGTTTATTCCCAGAGGAGCTCCTCCTCCTGATGGCATTAGCTGATGTTCAACATGCAGGTAAATGCGCATTAGCTCGTGCTCTGACATTTAATAAAAAGCCTGGTCTTCCTTCCAAAGAGACCACCGTCTGGGAGGATTTTAGCAGAGCTGCAGAAATGTAGAAAATTGTCTCTACGGGACACCTGAAGGAGACGGCCTAATTTCATTTCTCTTTAAAAACTCAAGAGCAGCGAATTACCCTGTCAGGGATGAATGAGCCTCTGCTGCAGCGTTTTCATCAGCGCAAGATAAATTTACAGGAGGGAAAAAATCTGCAGCTTTGACAGACACAGCAGGAAGAGTTATGGAGCGGAGTCGTTATCCAGAGGCACGTCGCTCTGCTCAGCCGCAGCAGAGAGGTATCAGTCAACCAATAATCAGTTGACCAGGAGTCTTCATCAATCAGAGGGAGGCTGCCAGACCCCCACCTGAGGGCACCTGAGGGCCGGTTAATCGGGTTCTGCTCTCCTGCTTGGATGGACCAACCTGCAGCCTTCTGCCCAAACAGAACAGCAACCTCTGCCTTCCTTCAACAAGCGACGCCTGATGGGAAGAGAACGTGTTGCATCGCCTTCAGGTCAGCCCCCGGGGGGGCCCCCGCCTCTCCGGTTTCACAGCAGCTTTTAGGGGTCGATACGGCAGCCCGCAGGGAACGTTTATAAGTAGTGATGCATGCTGAAGCAAACAGGGGACGAAGGTTCACAGGGAAGATTAGTGAAGCATGTCCTGATTTTCACCTTTACTGGAAACTTTATCAGAAGAAGAGGAATATTCAGCCTCAAAGTTTGAATCCTGGAGACGTTTTTATTTCTGTGGGCATCAGCTGATCATCTATAGAGTCAAAAACGAAATGCTAACTTGGAGCAAACAACAGCAGCAATGAAAGGAACCAGCTACGATCTAAGAAAAGCAAACGACCAATGACCAGAGAGCTGGGTTAGAGGTCAAAGGTCAGAACAAGAAACACGGCAGGTGACAGGTGAGGACATGTCCCCACCAATAACGTCCATTATTTCCCCCTTTCTGCTAATTTCCTTTAGCTAAAGCTAACAGAGGTCGGGTGCAGCTAACTGTGTTCAGAGCCTTTTTCGGTCCGTGTTTTCGGTCCCGCCTCTCGATGTGACATCATCAGATCTGTAGCTCAGAGACATCTGATTGGTGGTCGCATTTCACTGCATATAAAGTCGCTACAGCAGCACTCAGTGAATATTAACCAGCAGCTGCTTCTATGTTTAAGGAAAAGTTGGAGATGCCACCGAAAAACCATCTGTTCATTTCATATATATAGACATATATAGACAGGTGGTCAGATGTTTTAATCTCCATGACTGAGATCCTTCAGCCAGAGATTTCAGTTTAAATCCTCAGATTTATAAAACTAAAACACTAAAGCAGGCGTGCAGCGAGAAGGAAAAGCGTCAGGCTCACCTTCGTCCTCGATGAAGTCCTTTAAGGAGGCCCAGGTCTTGTTATTGCAGAAGAAGGAGGTGTTGGCCGGCAGGCTGCCGTTGAAGCAGTGCTCTGTGCTGCGGACGCATTTCTGACGCAGGTTCCCCATGAACAGCTGCAGGCCGATGAGGGCGAAGACGCTCAGGCAGAAGACCGTGAGGATCATCACGTCGGCCAGCTTCTTCACCGACTGGATCAGAGCCCCGACGATGGTCTTCAGGCCTGAGGGACCGCCGCAGGGGTCATGAAGACTTTATGAGCATCTTTAATTCATGAAGTCAAACAACTCACTGGACAACACACGGAACTAAGCAGGTGAAGATGGCCGCCCTCTGAGAAGGTTTTCACTGCATAAAATTTGATCTAAAAGGGACAAATTTGATCCAGAGTGGGTTTTATTTTTAGACTCAGGCTATTTGCAACATGTACATTTTGTTGTGAATGGGAGGCAGATCTTTTAGTTATCAGGCTCCTCTCCTGTGGAACCAACTACCAGTTTTAGTCCGTGAGGCAGACACCCTGTCTACTTTTAAGGCTAGGCTTAAAACTTTCCTTTTTGATAAAGCTTCTAGTTAGAGTGGCTCAGGTTATCCTGAGCTATCTCTATAGTTATGCTGCTATAGGCTTAGACTGCTGGAGGACATAGGGACCCCTTTTTCATCATTCTGCTTCATTCTATCTCTGCTGGTTCTGCTGGAGGTTTCTTCCTGTTCAAAGGGAGTTTTTCCTCTCCACTGTCGCTACAAGCATGCTTAGTGTGAGGGATTGCTGAAGAGTCAATGAGTCGATGCAATCAGCTGGTTTTCCTGAGATAGAAAACTTTGAATCAATCTGACTGGATGATCTGGTGAACTGGAAAGTGACCTGAGATGACATGATGTGAATTGGAGCTATAGAAATACACTGAATAGAAAAGAGTTAAGTGTGTCTCAGATGATGTGTGTTGTAGATTGGTCCTTTATAAATCAATTGAATTGTAAATGCTCTTTAGCACAGTGTTTCGCTGCAGTAAAACCAGAGGGCGGCCATCTTTGTGCACCTTAGGAAATACATTAAATAATCATGCATTTCTAAGAAGGATTTCCTGCTACTGAAAGTCATCAACGTCACCCTCTAGCAAACAAAGTTACATTCAGATACAAAGACCCGGTAAACACATCAGGACCAAACACTGAGAACAGAACACAGAGGGTCCGGACAAGCCGACGACCGTCCAAATGTTACCGGATCAGAGAAACTCTCCAGTTTTTCAGTAGATTCATTAGAAACGGACCTGATCCTGTTTCTCAATGTCTGCTGGCCAATGAGTGGCTGAAGATCCACAGTTAGAGTTCACTTCAAAGCAGGTGTTTCAACAACGCAACGGTCACAGTGTGGCCGCGCGCCGTCAACACCAAATACTAACATGCAGAGAGTGGACACACAGAGGCTGAACGTCTGAAGGATCTAGATCTTTGTGACACCGAGAACGGAGTCTTAAATTGACCTGCTAGACTCTTCTGACAGAGTTGATGTTTCCATGGTTGTTCTCTTGCGCCCTGCAATGATTTCTTTGCCTCACAGTGAGGAGGGATGTTAGAGTTCCCTTCCCGCTCAGGCGGAATCATCAGAACTCTAAGTAGAGAGACTTGTCTGATTCAGGCTAGCCACCAATGTAGAGCTTGTTAAAGAATGGCAGCAGGACACCATCTGGTCTATGTAATGCCAGGCAAAATGCTGTACGGTACATTTAATCGTTGCACTCAGCTAAAGGCCAAACTGTAAGACGAAGCGGAAGGGTTTAAAAGTTCCGGCCCGACGCTGATGCGATCTAACAGCTCACACTGTTCGTCCAGAAACCACACATTGGACTCAGCGACGAGAGGTCGCGCTGTTCGGACTTTTCAATCTGGAATAAGAAGAACTCCTTTGTTAGCACGTGCGTAGTGCACGACGTTCCCGTAAATTAGCTCATACCTCTGCATCCGTCATGATCTTGGCGTTGATGACTGGCTTAATTACTAATTTCATTCACCTGTCCAACTCTGCCTGGTTCCTCATCACTGCTCATCTGATCCACCTGCTCCTGCTTCTATTTAAGGCGCTTGCACCCAGTCATCAGGGCCAGATTATACTTGTTTTCACTAGTCAGTGGTTTTAGCATTACCTTAGTGTTTCTGATTACCTGATCCTGTTCTTCCTCTAAACCACTGAACCCGCCTGTTCCTGTTCTGATCCGTTTGTCTGACCTGGCTTCGGACTCCTGCATGTTTTCCGGGGCGGCAGTATCTGAACCACGCTGGGACAAATCTTGCTCTTTGGGCGTTCAAGTGAACTTGTAATCCAGATTAATAACTCATGGTCATAATCTTCCTCAGTTAGATTTATGTGGTCACTAACCTGTGTTTTCTAACTCTAGAGTTTCCTGCACTGAGACCTCCTGTTTGATTTTCTCCCAACTTTATGATTCCTGGTGGGGAGGTGGTTGGGAGTGGCCCCTCGCTACCCTCAGGAGTGGCCCCTCGCTACCCTCTGTATACTACACAAAGTAGGATGCACTTTGAGGCTGAAACTCTGTGCAACTGGAGCATCTGAACTATAAGGGTAAATACCCCGTACAGTGAATGCCTGGCTTAAGAGAAAAGAGTTATGGTGAAGCACGTTTTTTTTATCCAGAACAGAGGGGTCAGTAAAAATTTGGAATCATTTGGTGCCATTAATCAACCAGGAATACCTTCATCACCGATCCAGGAACAGCTGATGACTTTTAATTTATGCTTGACACGTCAACAAGGTCCGCCATGGGGCCAAGTTACAACCTTTTAGCATTAGCGCTAAAGCGTGGCTTCACCACAGCCTGAACCTTTCACACCGTTCTCCTAAACGAATTTGCAGCTATACAAACAGTTCCGTCAGATAAACATGGCGGACAAGCATAGATGCCTAGCTTTGCAAAAGCTAAACATCCATTGACATCTTATGATGTGTCAAATATTTATTTAGTGAGAGATTTGTAAATCCACAACCTCCCGAAATTGCATCTTGCCAGCAGCCAGCAGATTAGCATTAGCCTGGTATAGAGATATTTTTGGAACCAATGAAATGCAGGGACTTCAACGCGAACCGGCAGGCTGATGCTAAACAAACATGGATGTACCAGTAGACTATTCCGTCTGATTTAGCTGGAATACCCACTATTTCTTTTTGGAAATTTGAGTAATTTGTGCTTTTGTGGCTGGAAAAGATGTTTGCGCGTTTCTGCCAACCGGATACGGTTAGACTTTGATTTATCAGTTAACTTCGCTATTTGTGAAAAAAAATCAAGAATGTGATACTTGGCAGCTGCTACGACTGCTGGGATTGGCTAAAAGCTCAAAATGGGGGAGGGTACCACTTGTTCAAGGCACATCAGTTCAAAGAATTGTACTGAATGTCCCTTGTAGGTACCAGATCTGCTCGAGCATCTGTAGCGTTAGCGTGTCTAAAGATCGATGGAGTTTTACCTGATCGACATCAAAACTGAAAAAAAAAATTTTTCTGGTGAACAAAGTAACTGTTAGACCATGATATAAAGAGCTGGGTAGCGCTATGGCTAGCTGTGCTAAGTAGCTAACAGGTTAGCATCTTCTAGCTCGGTCAGTTAGCCATTTTAAGCTACAATACTTCGAACTTTGCGTCAACAACAACCGTTCGTTTTCTACAAGTAGAACAACTGTTTTGTCTAAAAACATAAAATAATAGCAAATATAGGGAATATGTTGAGACTCCAAAAGAGATTTGATCCTTAACAGTTTGTCCGAGTGGAGTTGCCGTATGATGATGTCATAAGAAGGGGCCCCGAGCAGATCTGGTACCTACACCAAGCAGAAGTAGAGTGATGTAGTGTGATGTAGTTAGCTTGCGCCCGGTTGCCCATACCGCCACCTACAGTTGACTAGAGTATCAGGTAAAGCAGGGAAAAGCCGCACAGAATATAAAATGTTGAAAATGCAATGTCAGCAATTGTAATCCTGAGGTTCTGAGTTACCCATAATCCCTGATTGCTTCCCGAGCTCCGAACAATGGCTGCCCAATGCTCCCCAGAGGGATGGGTTAAATGCAGAGGTAGCGGCTGGCTAGCTCAAGTGCTAAGTCACCTTTCCTGCAAACAGGCAAGACCCTTCACGCTAATGCCTGCTTTGGGGAATGGTGGCCTAGTGGTTAGGGCATAGAGCTTGGTCTCTGAGCAAGACCCTTAACCAGGCGCCACACAATGGCAGCCCACTGCTCCCCAACGAAATGAGTTAAATCAAGAGAGTTAATTTCATTGCTTTGCACTTGTGACAGAGGAATGATAATAAAACACTGGAAAATAAAAAATTCTGAGCAGAGAGTAGACGTGTTAAGCATAAATTGGCCTCAGTGGCTCAGAAACATTAAAGATCGGGAATATTAACGTTTAAACCAAAGAAATATCAGATTCCCTGTGATCAATTAAATCTTCAGCTTATTTGTTTAGAACTGATCTTGGATAAAGATTCTTCCTCTTGTTCCTTCGGCTCGCTAACTGATAGCCATTAGCATTAAAGCGTGTCTGCGTGGCCTCTGCTGTCCACTCACAACCGAAGCCAACAGGGCTGTGGTGCAGTCTCTGCATACTTCCTCTGACATCATTCAGAAATGATCAGGTTCAGTAGGAAGTATACAGCGTGAGATATGAAACAGCCACATGTTTCTCGCTCGGGTCACGGGAGGGCGGTGCTTCCTCTTTCCTCCGTCGGGTTTCTCACCTGGGATGACAGAGATGGTTTTGAGCGCTCGCAGCACCCTGAACGTCCTTAAGGCTGAGACATTACCCAGGTCCACAAACTCAGTCACATATCTGCAACAAGGCGGGAGACAGAAGCACAAAAACAGACACACACAGAAGGATGTGACCACAAGGAGCCGAGACAGAAGGACAGTAAGAGAGATGGACATCCAGGTAGTGACAGGAAGAGCTGCAGAGAGACGGCTACAGCCCGGCCTCCTAAGCTGCTATGCAGAAGGTGAAATCAGATATGAAAGCTTCACACATGGAGAAGAGTTCCCCGCGGGCCAATAGGTTCACAGTTCCCACTGTTTCTATAGAAGTAGCAGCAGTACTCAGCTACTAGCGACTGGCTAACAGAATTAGCCTGAAATATGGAACTTTTTTTTGTTTATTCATATGTAGTTCACTATAATGTGGGAAAATCTTATAACAAAATTTTTATCAATTCTGAAAGTTTTGGTTTTGGGGTTTGAAGTTTCTTCCTGTTAAAAGGGAGTTTTTCCTCTCCACTGTCGCTACAAGCATGCTTAGTGTGAGGGATTGCTGAAGAGTCAATGAGTCGCTGCAATCAGCTGGTTTTCCTTAGATAGAAAACTTTGAATCAATCTGACTGGATGATCTGGTGAACTGGAAAGTGACCTGAGATGACATGTTGTGAATTGGCGCTATAGAAATAGGAAAACAGAATTGAAAGCTAGCATGCTAGCACCAGAAATTATGTAAAGGACATGACTTCCTGCTTAAAACGAGGTTAGCTACAAAGGATTAAAAAATGAAAAACTTTGTCATTCACGTCTACTTTAAACTGAATAATGCTGATAAAATACTAAAGTTAGCCTAATGTTAAATTAGTTAGCCCAATGCAAGCTAACCACAAATTGGTATCATTACCGTTAAAGACTAAAATATGCAGTCGACACTTTATCTTTCTGTAATTGTTGGCATTTCATTTCTACTTAGTTTTAAAAGTTTTTTGCTAATCTTAGCAGATACGTAGCTCATCCGTCTGTTAGTTACTGTTGGCTAACAGTTAGCTAAAAGGGTCAATTAGCCAAAAAATAGTTAACATTTTAGGGAATTTTAATTATTCTACTTTAAATCTTAACTGGTAATTGGGAATAAATAAATTAATGAGTTGGAAAAAGTTATGTAGATCTATAAGAATGTAAAAGAAAACAAATCTGTTTGATAAATGGCGGTTAAAAAATCATCAGAGTAGAAAAAGAGCATCTGTTTTAACATTTAATCGTTGCAACGACAAACATTCCTCTTTTATCTAGTGATCATGGCATAGCCAAGTTTATCGTATATCTTTAATGGCTGCAGTGAACTATTAGCTGACCAGCTAGCGGTGCGTAACTTTCTTGATTCTCCAGCTAATGACCGGCGCTCAGCTGAACCATATCGGATTTTCCCTTCTGTACTGTTCCTTTAAGACAGGTCAGGTGATTCCACCTGAGACCTCCGATAGGGCGGAGAGGTGGGCTGGTGCTGCAGGACACTGGCAGACACGGAACAGACAGCAGAAGACATTCACCACTAATTTGCTCTTCAGTGCTTTTAAGCTGCCCCCTGTCGCCCCCTGGTGGTGGTGAGGCCTTACCTGGGATGACTGAGATAGTTTTCAGGGCTCTCAGCACTCTAAACGTTCGCAGCGCCTGCAGGTTTCCTACTTTGATAAACTCTGTTAACATCCTGCAGGGGGCAGTGTGGTGGTTTTCAACAAACAACAAAAGAAGACAAAGATAAAAAAAAGTCTGAACATGTCTTTGATAATTTACATTTCTGTGAGTAAAAGTCCACGGCCACGATTTAATCGGCTTCATCAGGATGATAACGGCCTCTTTAAACATGGCGGGGGGTCTACATTATGGAGGATAAAAAGTGCCAAAATTAAATAAATAAATACAGCATTAAATAAATAATTAAATGTGTTAATAATTAATTAAATGTGGAATTAAATAAATGTGTCATTCATTAATTAAAACCACGTCACTAATATAAAGATAATAATTAGTTAAATAGTTTAATTATTTCATGGTCCTGTGTCGCAGTGCATCGAAACCATTAAAAGAATCTGGCAAACTCACCCATCAAAGTTAGGGGGCGGGGTTAATGCGAATCGAGTCTCTGTAATCGATTTGCTTGGCCTTAATGTGCAGGGTGACCAATCAGGTGTTAGAGAACCGCCCCCTAACTTTGATGGGTGAGTTTGACAGATTCTTTTAATGGTTTCGATGCACTGCGACACAGGACCATGAAATAATGAAATGCACACTGAAATAATTATATATACTTTTTTTAATAAAATGAAGACATATTTTATTAAATTAATGACACATTTATATATTTAATTCCACATTGAATTACACATTTAATTAATTGTTTATCGCTGTATTTATTTATTTAATGGTGGCACTTTATATTAGTGACGTGGTTTTAATTAATGAATGACATTTATTTATTTAATTCCACATTTAATTAATTATTGACACATTTAATTATTTATTTAATGCTGTATTTATTTATTTAATATTGGCACTTTTTATCCTCCGTACTACATGAGCTGGTTTTGCTTTCCAATAGCTTTAAGACTAAGATATAACAGTTATAACGTGTAGTTTAATGTAGTTTGTCTTATTTTATACATTAATTTATGCTGTTTACTCACTATATTTTCACTCAGTCTGTTTCAGCTGCAAGGCCAAACAATTCCCCTGAGTGAGGGTGTTTTAGTAACATCTGAAGGTTTATTTGTAACATCTTATTGTTTAACCAATTTGTTTTGTAATTTAAAATTTAACTATAATTTTCATTTGTTTTGACTCTAATTCCCATCATTGTCAGTAAGGGGGAACAAACGCTGCCCAAATCAGAACAGGACTGATTACCGTCCAATAACTGTTCTCGCTATGCAAAGATAAAATAAAGCGCCGACTGAGTGAAATCCATCCATTTTCATTTATTTTACTGGAGCAAATGGTTGAATACTTTTTTCCCCACTAGAAGGATTAACATGATCCTGAAATAAGCATTGGTAACAAAATTTTACTAATAAAGGTTATAACTCCTTGGTCAACGACATGGCTCACTAGTTGGGGATTATGGAACAAAAGCCTGACATTAGAGAATTAACACCACTTGTAAGAATTATCTGTAATTCTGGGTAAATCACTCTAGAAAATAGAAGTTATTAGTGATTCTATTCTGATCAGGATAGATTCATAATTTACAATAAAAATAATTATCTAAAAATACTTTCTTGCGGCATTTTTTTAAAGGTAAATCAATGGCAGTAACTGCAAAATGTAGTAAACTCAGCCCATCAATTACAAATTTGCTCTAGAGAAACAAAACCATTTTATATAATCTTCTTTAGTCAGTTTCATAAAGAAACTTAGGAAAATTCAGCCATTTTTAAAGTTTCAAACATTATTAATATAATTTCGTAGCTGTGAGGATGAATCCAAATTCCTATCATGACAAGAACTTATGATAATGATAAAGGATGAGATAAAGTCCAAAGCTTTATAAAACTAAGTCCAGATGAATCAGAGATCAATCAGCATCGAATTAAAAACTAAAATCCAACATCAGGAGCTTCGGTGGGATTTTAGGGCCCTTTTATGGAGTCAGAAAGATGTCAAAATGTTTGGAAACTAATTAGGTCTTAGTTGAAACTGAAAAAATAAGTTTCATTTCTTTTCTTTATTGCAGTTTTCGATTTTATATTTTCAGATCCCAATCCCTCTCTTTCCGTTTATTTTTATTTTTTTCAAATTCTTTTTTCAGGTTGAGGAATTTATTTTTTTTTTACACTTTCAAAAAAATTTTTTTCACATTCAGATTTTGAGCCTAATCTGAGGGCGGGGGAATTAGATTGACAGCTTGCTGCAGCGCTGGGGAGATGTCCCATTCCATGCTGCATTCATGGACTGTGGGTATCCAACTACTTGGGAAAGTAATGGGAGTTCCCACAGTCCATGAATGCAACATGGAAAGGGAAATTTGATCACTGCTGCACTTTCTTGCTTTAAGAAAATGAAATTTCATTTTTTATACACTATGTGTTTACAAAATTGCCTAATGTCTAAAACTCCAGTGCTGTCAATCACGTTTCCCCGCCCAAACCCGTCAGATTGGGGTCAAAATCTAAAGGTAAAAAAAACTGATTTGAAAGTGTAAAAAAAAAAAATCCTGAAACTGGAAAAGCAATTTGAAACAAAAAAAAGAAAAGAAGAAAAAGTGTAATTAAAAGACTAAACTGAATTTAGATTCAATTCTTATTAAGTTTTCTCACATTATGAGGTAAAAATTTGACATTAAATATCAACTTTTTTCAGTTTCAATTCAGATTTCAAAGTATTTAAACATTTTGACCCGTTTCTCTGACTCCATACCTGCTGCTGATAATAACAGCTAACTTTTCACATTAAATAGCAACATAGGGAAAAAATAAAAGATTAACAGGAACAAAATAAATACATCATCAGCTTTACGCGTAATAATCTTGCTAAAATTACTACATTTTCCGCATTATAAACGGGAAGAAAGAAAAAATACGTAATCAGTTAGCAAAACTCATAAAAAGCAACCAAATGATTTAAAATGCTAATATTTAGACGGTCGGTTTTATATCCTTCAAACTTAATACCATAAAACACAGATTTATACTTTACTTGGTTTTATAATTTCAGCGTAAGACCTTGTCTTGGATTTAAAGTTATATTTTAGAGACTTTGTCTTGAAACATCCAGTAAAGTTTTAATCTTAATACCAGGTTTATATTTAAGCCTGCTAAACTATTTTAACAGCTTAAAAATTTAGCCTTAAATCTGAACTAAGAGTTAAAAACGTTTTTAGAAATAAAAAACGAAACAAATGTTTGAATGTAACCATGTATATTGTTAAATTAAACAAAGCATTATTTATAAAAATTAGGTTGTTTGAATAAAATAAAAGACATTTGATGGTGGCTTTTAGCATGTTGTGACGTTTTGATGCTAAGTGATTTTATCAAAAGGCTTTTGTTGTTTTATTTATCTGCGTTTATAAAGCCACAAAGAGCCGACTGGGATTCATCCTGTTTATTCTTCCACTGCTTTGTCTCCATCTTTGCAATAAGATGATAAAGTTCAAACAGTGAGCGTTTGTGTCCCAGCTGGCTGAATCAGGCGATGACATCATGAAGGCCGGGCGGCGAGCCTTTGATCGAACCAAACCAGGCGCCAGGCCGCGGTGGCCCTAAAGCCGGTCATTTGATCCCCGAGCTGCTAATGGTTCTCCATCATGGCTCGTATTTCAGCAGGTTGGACCGCTGCGCTGATTTAATTACGACGCAGGGAAACGATGGCAGGCGGAGCTGTTTACAGGAACCTGCAGGTCAAACCAGCAACATCAGGACCCTTTAGTGACGGGGGACCGATTCCACAGCAGCAGGTTCGCCCGACTGGATGTTTGGAGGCCATGAAGTTTACGATTTAAAGACGAGAAACGGGAAATCAAAGCGTGAAACACCTGAGTCGGAGCTGATGACGGAAAACTGAGGTCCAGTTGGGGTTATGACCTGGTTACCATGGCGACCCAGAGCCAGTGGGAGTGATGGGCAGAATCAATCAGGCTGTGGGCCTGTTTTCCAACTATTAGTGTAGTTTTAACCCCTTAACCCCGGCGGGTCCGGTTCAGGGCCCAGCTGACAGTCACATGGTGTTTCATCCACACGCCATGAGGGAACCCCTGAGCCGGGCCTCCAGATCCGGCATCCATTCTTTCCTTCTGTTCGTCTGTCTTCTCGGCTCAGTGACCGGGTCGAGCCGTCAGCCAATCAGAGAGCAGAACCGTCACCGGGGAGGAGGGGAGCCTGTGAGGTCTGCAGCCTGACGCCGCTTCGCTCCATGATCCAAACCGACTCAGACGTGGAGTTCTGCAGTTTGTCCTGACTTTGCAGAAGCTTTGAAAACTGACCGACGGCGTGAAACTTGTGGGCTTACGGAGCGGCGAGAGGCGAAGCTGCAGAGCAGCTTTTCCCTTTAATTCCTCCACATTAATCCCATCAGGAGGACAACAGCTTCACGTCACGTCGGAGCGCCGCTCTGCTGCTCTCAGCTCCTCAGACCAGCAGCTTTCAGCTCCGCTCACAATAAAAGCTCAGCAGAAATCTCTTCCTGCTGCGCTCACCGGGGTGATCTTTACTCACTGACATATGCACTGCAAAAATTATCTTCAAAAGAGTTTTAAAAACATTCTGAAAATAACTGTATTTACCCTTAATTTGACAGGATTAATAAGATGATCTGTCAATGCAAGGAGAATGTTTAGCCTTAAAATAAGATAATTAGATATTATACTAGTAAAATAAACAGACTGCTGATGTTTATTTTCTTATTTCTTATTCTAAATTGTCTTATTCTATTGGCAAATCACTTCACTCCTCAATTCAAGAAAAAAATTATTCAATTAGATTTAATTTTTTTAATTTTCTTTTCTGCAAAACAAAGTAGAAGACTGTTTATTTTAAATATTAGAGCGGGGAAACATATTCAGCTGTTTTTTTTCTACAATGGAGGAAAAATATTTTCATTATGTGCATTTAAATGTCTTCACTGCAAAAATGTAAATCTAAATAAGTAATTTATTTCTAGTGCGACACTTTACCAATTGAAGAAGACAATGTAGATTTAAAATAAGGTAAAAATAATTTAATTTTCTTATTGAAAGTGCATTTAAAATACTCGTTCCATTTGCAAATCATCTTATTTACCTGCTCTAATCAAGGCTAAATACACTTAATTTAAGAAAATGTTACTTATCTATAGATTGTTTTTGCTCTAAATAATAAAATGAATATATCTCATTAATAGATATTTTATTTCTGATTATATTTATTTTTCTTTTCGTTTCTGAAAAGCTGATTTTCATGATCTCGGCGCTGATGACAGGCTAAATAAATTCACCTGTCCATTCCGCCTGGTTTCTCATCACTGCTCACCTGCTCCTGCCTCTATTTAAGCTGCTTGCTCCCAGTCATCAGTGGCAGATTATTCTCTCTAACCAGTGCGGAGAGCGGGCCTTAGTGTTTCTGATTTCCTGGTCTGCCTTTCAGCCACTGATCCTGCCTGTTCCTGTTCTGATCCGTTTGCCCGACCCGTCTTCAGACTCCTGCTTGTTCTCCGAGGCTGCAGCATCTGGGAGACTCTGGACGCCATCGCATCTTGTTGGCTGCTCACCGACTGGATCCTACCCTTTCCTCTGGGCTCAGACTGAGCCGGTAAACCAGGTTAGTGACTCACACGTTCATAATCATCGTCAGATCATGGCGGTCACTAACCTGAGTTTCCTTTTCGCAGTGTTTCCAGCGTCGGATGCCCTAGCCGCTGCTGCTGCAGATCCGCAGTCCGTCCGATTTATAATAAACACTTTTAAAGTAATCTGTCTGTCTGTCTTTCCTGAATACTGGGTCCTTCTGCTCTGGTCTGCTTGACCTTTAGATGTTGACAGATTTTATTTGTTCTCAGATCCACAGATCAGAACTACTGCATGAAAATAATGAATTAGAATGACAGAAATAGAATGTTTTATATCTAATTACAAATTAAAAGATTTGAGAGCAAATATTTGAATTTATATTAATAAAAATTAATGTTAGAGTTTGTTTTTTAATAGATCCTCGAATTTTTTCACATTTATTAAAACCCTCAGAGAGCAAACTGGAGTTAATGTGACAGACGGAAACATGGAGGAGCAGCACTGAGGTTCTGCAGAACCTCCTCCGGCTGCAGATCCGATCGTCTTCTTCTCTAGATCTCTCAGCTGGATGTTTGTTTTCCTCGACGTGGTTCTTCCTTTATCGACCGCGCTCCGTCATCTGGTCAGATCTGGACCTGTGCAGCTCCTCCAGAGTCACCTTCAGCCTATCCAGGTGGACCTCCATGGGTCTGCAGGTGGTCCATCGTCTCTCCATTTTCACATGAGGTCCAAAGACGGGTTTTAGTAGTAGAACCTTTCCGGATTTGTGATTGTGAAATCACAAAATCACTGTGATGTCATCCCTGAGTTCTAACTATTACTTATATTGGTCCAAATATTGCAGTAAATAAACCAATAAATTACAAAATGCACCATTAAATGATTTAAAACTACATTTAAAATGATAAATAACTGTAATTTAAACCAATAAATGTTTTTAAAAGTGAAAACATCGGTCAGATTACTGAGGATTTAATGAAAGGTATCAGAGTAAAGGGGCGGGAATACTTTGTCACACTGTGACTTTGGGTTCCTCTCTGTCCGTCCGTCACATTAAATCCAAACGAAGCAGGTTTCAGTTTTAGTCTGGAAACGTTTCAGGGGTGTGAAAACTTTAGCGCAGTCCTGTAAACCTTCAGACAGCTCATCTCTAAGCCCTGCCTAAACCGGGGAGAGGTGCAGCTGATCCTAATGTTCTGGTCGATCCGAGTCAAACCCAACCGGACGTGGAGAGAGAGAGAAAACCGTAGGTGAGCTTTGATTGACTCACGCCATGACGATGACGCTGAAGTCCAGCCAGTTCCAGGGGTCCCTCAGGAAGGTGAAGGGGCCCACGCAGAACCCTCTGGCCAGGATCTTAATGAGCGACTCGAAGGTGTAGATACCTGTGAAGGTGTACCTGAGCGGGAGAGCAGAGCGGATGAATAAAACGTTAATGAACGCCTCTGACAAACATCCTTCACTTATTCATTTCGTCACCAGGAACGAACGAACCGAAGGATCCAGAGTTCGAGCCGCTTCCCGCCTGAAGGCAGCGGATTGTTTCATTTCCTGTCAGACGTCGAATCCGAGGCTCGTTTATAAAGTAAAGGTTTTATTTACAGATTGATTAAATAAACCTGCTTTAATTTTAGGATTTAACCCCTTAAGCCCTGCGGGTCCGGTCCAGGGACCAGCTCATGTTTATCTATTTATAAAAAATGGCCAAAACTCAGTCACATGGTGTTTCATCCACACACCTTTCAAACGGGGTTCTTAAATTTCTAAAACATTTTTCAAAATTATTATTATTATTTTATTTTTTATATATAGCTGTGTCAACTAATAACATTAGATTAAAAATTTCACCTGACAGGTGTGATTCCACCGGAGTAATGCAACAGCAGGTATTCATTTTTAGCCCCGCCCCCTAATGGACAGAAAGCTGAGGTCCAGTTGGGGTTATGGCCTGGTTACCATGGCGACCCAGAGCCAGTGGGAGTGACGGGCGGCATCAATCAGACTGTAGGCCTGTTTCCCAACTATTAGTTAAGTTTTTAGCTGGGCCTGGTTCAGGGCCCAGCTGACAGTCACATGGTGTTTCATCCTCCTTTCAAACGGGGTTCTTAAATTTCTAAGACAATTATTTTTTCCACAAATACTTTTTGTTTTATAGCTTTGTAAACAAATGAGATTTAAAATTGCACCTGACATGTGTGACTCTGCGGGATTAATGCAGCAGCAGGTGTTAATATTTAGCCCCGCCCCCTAATGGCCACCGTCATTGGAAACTAGAGACTCAGACCTTTCCAAGGAGGGGTCAGAGGTCATTGTTTGGCCATTTCAGGTGATGTAACCAGCATGCTTTACATAAGCTGCTCTGTTATTCTTTATTTCTATTTAATTTGGTGAAATTATTGGTAAATTTCAATAAACTAACGGCTAAATCTGAGGAGCAAAGGCTTTGCCTCATGCAGAAAGTCTCCAATAATGGAAATCAGCATATTTTTCTGATTAGATTCCCTTTGATGAGTGAAAAAAATGCACTTTTTGCACATTTCAAATAGTGGTTCCACCTGAAAACTATCCCTCGATGCCTTTCTGTCATATAAATATAAACTATTGCTTTAATTCGCATAGGTTAAGGTTATCAAACCGGATCATAAAGACCTGAGGATCCGAGTCTTTCTGGGTGGAAAAGGGTCAGCAGCTGTTAAACACTTCCACCTCTTACTTCCTGCATGCAGGGACGGTGGCCTGGAAGGCACAGGGAGTCAGACTTGATGGGTTCAGACATGTGAAATGAGGAGTTTCATCTAAAAAGGTCTGTTTGGTTTTGACATTTGAAGCTTGACATTTCTGTTGCACACGATTCACCTCTGAGCCGCCTTGGAGTGTCGGGCGGCTCAGATCGGCCGAGTCACGCTGAGCGGAGCTCCGACATCGGCTCTGATTAAACCTTCCCCCCGGCGGCGTGTGTGTTTGCAGGAATGTTCCCGGGTCGTACTTACTCCAGGTACTTGGCCCAGTTTGCGGGTTCCGACATGGCCATGAAGCAGCAGTTGGTCAGGATGGTGCACATGATGAACAGGCTGAACAAAGTGAGGAGGTTAAGGAAGGACAGCTTCACACAGACTGATCTCATAACGCAAAGACGGACACTCAGTGATTTCACTTCAGTTGCAAAAGAAACAGTCACACAATTTGGAGGTGTGTGCGCTCCTTTACAGCTAAGAGCCGCAAAAACAGTTTTTATGTCCTTTTGATGAAGTGCAGGGCAGCAACTACTACATTCTCTCACTCGACAAATAAAACTTTATTAACGTATAATAAATAAATAATTACTAATGAAAATTACAATTTAGTTATTTCTTTTGGATCCTGCAATTCCCTCCTCCGCCCTGCAGGGGGCAGTGTAAACGCTACTTATAAATGATGCGTGGAAGAGCTTTAAAGGAAAAGTCCGGTCAGCAAGGAATAATGAATGGATCATTATTTATACCTGAAACTAATACATTCACAGGGATGAAATGAATTTAGCGGAATCACTGAGTCTGGGAGCGGCCATTTTTGCCCAAATATAGTAGCCCCTCCCTCCTGCCATCTTCCAGCAGTGACGTCACGGTGCGGTAAGCCTAGCGCCATTCTCCCCGCTTTACAAGCTAAATCAATGGGAACTACTAGACACATCTGCAATCAACAACAATTATTGAAGATTTCCAGAGGACTTCACCATTGAAATTCACCAGAGCTATAGTGAAACTGACAATGCCCACGTGCATGGCAGCTGGATGCTGGAATACATCGGGTAAAAGTGAAACAAAGAGTTATTCCACCTTTCTGATTCCTGATCCTCCACGGACGGGTTGGTCGTTGGATCGCCAACTTGAAGAGGGAGGATTTGCCATCGAACTTCTGGCCAGAGAAAAAACCCGTAATATGTAGCCAACATTTGGAAGAAGAATGTTTTCAAGATGACTTGGATAATAGCGCGTTGTGACAAACACCAGATACAGCACTGGGACTTGATCAACAGCTGATACCGCACCGTGACAATGTCACTAACCAGTAGGTGGCAGTAGTGTTCTTTGACAAACATGGATGCCTCCAGTAAAGCACATTCACATGAAAATGACTCTGAATTAAAAACACTGATCATTTATTGAACAGGATGGAATCATTTCAGAAAGGCGTGCTCGTTGCTAGCGCAGTGGCGATATTTGTGCAGTTATCATAGCGGAACTAGCGAGAATTTTCAAACTCGAAAATCGGAACAAAATAGTCCCTTACCGCAGTAGACATGGTGATTCGTTGTGTTCGCCTGTCTGCTAAGCTCAAAACAACCGCGTCTGGCTTGACGGAGAAACCAGGAGAACAGCTGAGCTAATTTACGACAGTGCACTTTTACTTTCGCCCTCTGGGGGGAGCCTCGCTGGAAAATCAACACCGGTTGCATAGTGTACCTTTAAAGGACTTTTCCTTTAAAACTGTACCTGCTTTTTGCTTTTAACATGTTTTCTCCAATGATTATTTAAGCTGATTTACAGCTTAAATAATCATAAAGTGATTTTCATTTGCTTCAACACCCTTCTTTGGAATATTTCAAATCTTTTAAAGGGCTGTAAACATTTACCAGATAAAGTTCTTATTGTCACGGTTGGGTGGAGGATTAACAGGATCCAAATGCAGACACTGAAGCTGAAGTGGTTCCTTGAAGATTTAATAATAAAAAAGCGCAACAGAAGCAAAAATCCAAGAACAAAACCTGAGAACCAGGAATCCTCACAACAAGAGAGCAAAGAAATGACCACAAACCAGCAACAGTGACTGAACAGGAGGAGAATATATGGGAGAGGAACAAAGATCAGGCTGATTAGCAGATTGGGAGCAGGTGTGAACAGAGCAGGCTAGAAGGGAGCTGGGGGAAGGAGCGCAAACAAGAAATATCTAAGAACTGAAATACAATCAAAAATAACAAAATAGAATAACTAGAATAACACAAAATGGAAATAAAACCAATGGAAGCTCAAAGATTAAACATGGCACCCATAGATCAGGAAACTCATCTGAAGTCTCTGACCGGCTGTTTTATGTTGTTTTGGTTAAATTCTCAATGTTTTTCATTTTGTCTTTTTCCTACGACATAAAATTGCAGAGAACGAATCATTTCTCTAAATGCCTTGGAAAGAAAAATAAGTGCAGAGAGAAAAGGCTCCAAATGGAGCAGATGTTGGAGCTATTACACACAAAGACGTAAAGAATTACCTTGAATTTAAAGTCATTTTCTGTCATTTTGCAGCTCTCAGTCATGGTGGATTAAAACATATCTTTGGTGGAAATTCGGGGAAACCGAAGCTTTTTTCTCTTCGCATGGCGAGTTGCAGCTAAATTTGAACATTTCAAGGTTAAAAACTTCTCCTTTTAGCGCCTCGGTGCGAAGACTTCAGCTGATGTCTCATTAGAGCTAAATAAAGATGAAGAGTCCTGCTTCCCTCTGATTCCTGCCACTTTCAATACAGCAAATGAATGCGCCATTAGCGCCCCCCCACACAGGAGAGCCCACTCTAATAATGTCATAATGGGGGAGTGGGAAGTTTCCAAAGTGTCAGCAGCAGCAGAGCAGGTTAAATATCACCCTCACCTGCCGTGTTTGGTGGAGGAACCCGGATCGGCCGTCAATCACGGCTATAAATGAATCATAATTATTGTAATTTTGCAGAGGGAACATGCTGGGAGGGGGGGAGAGCGGCCCAAAGCCCAGCCCCAACCTGTTGGCGGAGCTCCGGCTGGGGAGATAACACGCTTACCGATCCACACACGGCACAGCCGGAGGCTAATTATCAGCCAGTGATAGCCTGATGCTGTGGCCCTTCCAGGCCACCGTACCGCGAATCTTATTACACCTCCCACCTCCTCCATAGGAGCCTTCTTCCTCCCACTGGGATATTTCCACCTATTCTGCTACGGCCAGTTTCCCCCCAGCTTCAGCATCGACAGAGACAAATAAAACAAAGAAAATGAACTAGAGAGATTAAAGCAAATTCATTATTAGAGTAAACAAAATCATACAGAAGAGGATAAGGGCCACTGAAAAAATAAAAAAAAGTTATGATTTTTAAATATTATTTCAGTTTAATATGGGGAAAAAGTCAGAATTCTGACTTTAATCTCTGAATTCTAACTTTAATCTCAGAATTCTGACTTTTATCTCAGAATTCTGACTTTTATCTCAGAATTCTGACTTTTATCTCAGAATTCTGACTTTTATCTAAGAATTCTGACTTTAATCTCAGAGTTCTAACTTTAATCTCAGAATTCTGACTTTAATCTCAGAGTTCTAACTTTAATCTTAGATTTCTGACTTTAATCTCAGAATTCTAACTTTAATCTCAGAATTCTGACTTTTATCTCAGAATTCTGACTTTTATCTCAGAATTCTGACTTTAATCTCTGAATTCTAACTTTAATCTCAGAATTCTGACTTTAATCTCAGAGTTCTAACTTTAATCTTAGATTTCTGACTTTAATCTCAGAATCCTGACTTTTTTCTCAGAATTCTGACTTTAATCTCAGAGTTCTAACTTTAATCTCAGAATTCTGACTTTAATCTCAGAGTTCTAACTTTAATCTTAGATTTCTGACTTTAATCTCAGAATTCTAACTTTAATCTCAGAATTCTGACTTTAATCTTAGATTTCTGACTTTAATCTTAGATTTCTGACTTTAATCTTAGATTTCTGACTTTAATCTCAGAATTCTGACTTTAATCTTAGATTTCTGACTTTAATCTCAGGATTCTAACTTTAATCTTAGATTTCTGACTTTAATCTCAGAATTCTAACTTTAATCTTAGATTTCTGACTTTAACCTCAGAATTCTGACTTTAATCTCAGAGTTCTAACTTTAATCTCAGAATTCTGACTTTAATCTCAGAGTTTTAACTTTAATCTCAGAATTCTGACTTTAATCTCAGAATTCTGACTTTAATCTTAGAGTTCTAACTTTAATCTTAGATTTCTGACTTTAATCTCAGAATTCTGACTTTAATCTCAGAATTCTGACTTTAATCTCAGAATTCTAACTTTAATCTCAGAATTCTGACTTTTATCTCAGAATTCTGACTTTTATCTCAGAATTCTGACTTTAATCTCTGAATTCTAACTTTAATCTCAGAATTCTGACTTTAATCTCAGAGTTCTAACTTTAATCTTAGATTTCTGACTTTAATCTCAGAGTTCTAACTTTAATCTCAGAATTCTGACTTTAATCTCAGAGTTCTAACTTTAATCTCAGAATTCTGACTTTAATCTCAGAGTTCTAACTTTAATCTTAGATCTCTGACTTTAATCTCAGAATTCTAACTTTAATCTCAGAATTCTGACTTTAATCTTAGATTTCTGACTTTAATCTTAGATTTCTGACTTTAATCTCAGAATTCTGACTTTAATCTTAGATTTCTGACTTTAATCTCATGATTCTAACTTTAATCTTAGATTTCTGACTTTAATCTCAGAATTCTAACTTTAATCTTAGATTTCTGACTTTAATCTTAGATTTCTGACTTTAATCTCAGAATTCTAACTTTAATCTCAGAATTCTGACTTTAATCTCAGAGTTCTAACTTTAATCTTAGATTTCTGACTTTAATCTCAGAATTCTAACTTTAATCTCAGAAGTCTGACTTTAATCTTAGAGTTCTAACTTTAATCTTATATTTCTGACTTTAATCTCAGAATTCTGACTTTAATCTCAGAGTTCTAACTTTAATCTTAGATTTCTGACTTTAATCTCAGAATTCTAACTTTAATCTTAGATTTCTGACTTTAATCTCAGAATTCTAACTTTAATCTCAGAATTCTGACTTTAATCTCAGAGTTCTAACTTTAATCTCAGAGTTCTAACTTTAATCTCAGAATTCTGACTTTAATCTCAGAGTTCTAACTTTAATCTCAGAATTCTGACTTTAATCTCAGAATTCTGACTTTAATCTCAGAATTCTGACTTTAATCTTAGATTTCTGACTTTAATCTCAGAATTCTAACTTTAATCTTAGATTTCTGACTTTAATCTCAGAATTCTAACTTTAATCTCAGAATTCTGA